TGGAACCCTTCCCCATCAAAATGTATAAATAGGACGCTTGCTTAATAAATAAAGTAACTCTTTCTTACTCTGCTCAAATAATAATTACAGTGAATACGTGACTTAGTTCTTTCTTATTTTTGTAAACCGATAATAAATAATACGCACTGATCTTGTCTATTAAGTAGCACATAGTAACCAACCAGTAACCTAACTCGAATCTAAACGTAACCTGTGATAACCTAACTCAAACCTAAATGTAACCTGCGGTAACCTAACTCGAACCTAATGTAACCTGCGGTGAACTAACTCGAACCTAAAACGTAACCTGTAGTGACCTAACTCAGACCTAAGCATAACATGTAACGACCACTTCCGAATATAGTCTTATTAATCGATAATTATTACTATATACGAATCTGGGTTGTGCTACTTGCATCAGGATTTATGCTTACGGTGCTGGACTAAATTGGCTTGGAAATACAAAAGCTCTCCCTAGTTGTAATATTTTGGTGCCAGTTGTGTAGAAGAACAACAGAAGGTGTCGATAATTGTGTGGACAAGTAGCTAATAATAACGATCGTGTGCTAAAATGTGTGGATAAATATTGAATACGAATGAACGTTGATAGTATTATATGAACGAACGTTGATAGTATTATATGAACGAATGTTGATAGTATTATATGAACGAACATTGATAACATTGATTAATTGAGCGTTGACAATTATTGTAAGCAAAGCGTTGATAAGTGTTGTGTGTATAACGTAAACGATACTGTGTAGACAGGATTGTATGATAAACGTTGAATAAGGACAAAACGTTTCAGTAATAAGTGTGAACATCACAACAGTAAGAGGACGAACATGTATACAGCAATAGGGTGAACAAGCATAAATACAATAGTGAAAGCGAGCGTCAATATAATAGTAAAAGCGAGCGTTGGTATAATAGTATAACAGATAATTGGTATAAAATGTGGAGAAACACCTTTAACAATACGAATCCCGGAAACGAATGCCACGATTATGAACCTAAGAATAATGGAAACTCACCTAGTAACGGCAATTCTCTTCGAAATGAATGTCTTTTGAATAGTCCGAACTCACCAATGAACCTCAATCAACAAGATGTACCTGATCAACAAACAATCCGGTTATTGCAAGTCATAGCTAGTGCATTAGCACAGCCCTGACAATCCCACAAGTTAAACGAACGAAGTGTAGTAAAAATCTCAACGTTCAGTGGAGGAAATCAGGATCCCGTTGAGTAGATAGACGCAGTAACAAGAGCATTTGAGGCAAATAATATTGTTAGAACAAGGCGACTTGTAGTTGTAGGTGCTCATCTCTCTGGTCTTACTACACTATAGTGGAAAAATCAAACGTATAGGAATGATGAGGTACGATATTGGAAAAATGAAGAGGCCCCATATCAAAGTTTTGTGCACCAGTTCAAGCAGGCTTTTTGTACTCCGGCTCTGATTAACCAGTGGAATAATGAATTACTATCTCAACGACAACATATAGAAGAATCGGTAGACCAGTACGCTACAGATATGTTAATAATGTTTAATTGAGTGTGCTGAGTTAGAAACCAATACCTTGAAATGACGAAGGCTCAAATGTTCGTTCAAGGATTGCGCACAAATTTGTCATTAGCAGTAGGACCGTTTATGCCGAACAACCTCCAGGAAGCAATCGAGAGGACTCGAACATGTGAAATGATTTTTGCTTGAGGGTTAGCAGCATATGGATTACCTGCTTTGTATAATTCCTTGATGTACCAAACAACTCAAGTAGTAGCGCCTCCATACCAAGCTTGTTCCACGGCCCAACCCATAGTACCACTATCCTAGTCAATGTACAGTACCGCCCAGCCCACAATGCCTACCCGAACTCAAGCTTCAACGAACTTTGTAGATTAGATAATGGCCATGTTACAGGAGGTGGTGACTACAATGAAGAACAATAATAACAACAACAGCAATAATTATAGTCGACCCCACCCTCCTGCGAATGGAAACCGACCTGAAAGAACCAATCGACCCCTCGTGTGTTACTCCTGTCATCAACCAAGACACATTGTCTGGGAATGCCCAAATGCTAATTATGGAAATGGCGTAAGAAACAACCCCCAGATGCAAAACCAAAATAATGGCACCATCAATAATAATAGACCGATTGAGGAAGCTTCCAAGGTGCAAGCAATGCTAGTTTAATTACAGGATCCCATGAAGCATTTAAACGAGGAGGCGCACCTTTAGAGGGTGAGAGTGCACAATTATCTATGAATCTCTCAGTTGGTATAATAAAGGAGGCTTATATGGCAAAAAGGAGGTGTAGTAACGATGACGAACCTGTTGAAGAAGAAACCTCACCAATGGTTAATCATGATAATGACTATAATCAAGGAAGCACCCAAGTGAATAATCAAACAAGTAACCAAGGAGATAAGAAAAAGGCCGTGAAAAGAAAGGTGACAAAGCCCGTTGAGCCCCAGTAACAGCAAAAATCTAACCATACTCAATAATGACGGACTTGCAAAATAAGAAGGCTGATATCACCTACGTGCAACTCTTCCAAGCCGCTCTGAGTGTGTGAAAAGAGGTGTTGAAGGTTCTGTGCTCGGGTAGGGTAACTAAAGGAAAGCTTGCCGAATTCTGTCTTAATAGAAACGACGAAGCCTACACGATATCAATATATTGCGATGCGCAAGTGAATGGTCAACCGATCATTTTGATCTTGGATAGTGGATCGTCCGGCTGTGTCGTTTCTGCAGGATTTCTCAAGGACTCTGGAATAACATTCAACCAACCTTCTACAGTAATGATGGTGGGGAACACAGTGAGCAGAAAAGACTGCTAGGAGAAATTGACAAATTTCCCATAACTGTGGTGGCAAAACCATAACGTCCTGTGCTGTTGTAACCGATGCTGGAAATTATACGGTAATCATAGGAAATGATTGGATGAAAAAGGCAAGAGCCCGATTGGATTGGGAATCATATGAGTTAATGATAAGGGATGGAAATAAAAAAATAAAGGTCCTAACTAAGTATTGTAAGCCGGCGAACATTGAAGATCAGATCCCTCAGAACCTTGAAAAAGGAAAGGCAAAGATGGAAGAGGATGAAAGTGCCGATGATGACGACAATAGCAGTGACAATGACGAATTAACGTCAAGTGACGAAGAGGAATATGAGGAAGAAGAAGGCTTAATAAGCTAAACATATTTGTATTTCAAATTCTATTCAATGCAAAAGAGGAACGACATCGTATGTGGGTTGTGTTTGAAAAAAGGCCACTACGAATCAGATTGTTTGTGGAATGAGGCTTCGAATCAAAAGGACTATTGGCATGAGGAAGGAAAGTCAAAGGACTAATACAACCTTGGAAATATGACCCCCAAATAACAAGGCCGAATGATGGGAGTTCTGAGTAAATACAAGGACGTTTTTGCACGAGAACCCAATCAGCTAGGAAGGACGTCAGTCGTCTAACACGAGATACATACAGAGGAAGGTCTTCCGGTAAAGCAAAGGTTCTACCCTACGTCGAAGTTGGAGTATGAGTTCATAGGTCAAGAAATCAAGCACATGAAAGAAGCCGGCTTAATTCGATCATTATGTAGCCCGTGGGTGTCTCCCGTCATATTTGTAAAAAAAAAAAATGGAAAAATGAGGCTGTGTGTGGACTTTCAGAAGCTCAACCAACGAACAAAACGTAATAGCTACCCACTGCCAAGGATTAACGAATTACTAGGTGCCCTGAAGAATTCGGCCTGGTACACTACCTTGGACTTTGCAAGCAGATTTTGGTAGGTTGGTGTCCATCCCTGTGATTGCGAAAAAATAGCATTTACAATGAAATTCAGGTTGTACGAGTTCGTAGTAATACCATTTGGCTTGACAAACACTTCTGCCACTTTCTAATGGTTGATGGATCATGTGCTGCAACAAGCGATGTGAGACTTTGTGCTGGCCTACATAGATGATGTGAATGTTTACTCCCCGGATTTTGAAAAGCACTTAGAACATGTTGATGTGGTTCTGGATAAGTTACGCAAAGCAAATTTAAGGCTCAGCCCCGATAAGTGTTACTTCAGAAAAGACCAAATTGAATTTTTGAGATATAAAATTTCGGGTAAGGGCATAACCGCGTCGGAATCAAAAATAATAGCTGTGAGTGACTTTCTGAGGCCTAAGAACCTCTGTTCGCTTAGAGGTTTCTTGGGTTTAGCTGGGTTCTACCGTCAGTTCATCAAAGACTTCTCCGGAATAGCCGCTCCCTTCTATAAATTATTGAAATCAGATGTGAACTTTGTATAGAAAAACGAACAACAAGAATCGTTCGAAGAATTGAAAAGGAGGCTTACCTCTGCTCCCTTGCTTGCTCACCTTTGTGACGATAGCGAATTTATCCTCTACACGGATGCGTCACATCTGACCCTTGGTGCTGTGCTGTTCCAACTTGGTGAGGATAAAATTGAACATGTAGTGGAATATGCCAGTCGATCTACCAAGCCCACTGAAAAAAACTATACCATAACCGAGCTAGAATGTATCGCGATCATTTGGGCTGTTAAAAAATTCCATCAATATTTGCATGGATCCCAATTTACAATTATAACTGACCATACTGCTTTGACTTACCTCAATAATATGGTAAACTCTACGAAAAGGATGGCGCAATATATTATGACCCTGCAAGGCTACGATTTTGTTATAAGGTATAAACCAGAAAAGCAATTGGGCAACGTCGATGGTCTCTCCAGGATTGAGAAAACAAAGAAATAAAAAAAAAAAAAAAAAAAATGGGGAAAAGGAAGAGAGTACATAAATGACAGTTTTTAAGGTCACTTAAGTAAGACTAAGCTTAGGTAACGTTGCAAATCAGCGGGTACAAAAGGACAGGCAAGTTAAATTAATCAGCAACAATTTAACAATGGAGCAAAATTTATTAATCAGTAAAAGGCAATTAAATTAAAAAAAAAAAAAAAAAAAAAAAAAAAAAAAAACTCAGCTCGCTTATTCTGTAGAACAATGTAACGAATATAGTAAATAAGAGACGGCTACAACGAATGCATGCAATGATAGGAGCACATATCTGGAAAATAATACTGGAGCTATTAAGGGATTCGATGTAATCACTATTCTGTATTAAGAACAATACTAGCATCAGGTAAAGGAAAAAGCATTGAAAAAGGATACAGAACGAACCAACCAGTGGTAGGATGATTAATTCAAGTCGGAAAAATCTGTGAAAAAGGTGAAAAGCGATCAAAAAAAAAAAAACCTTAAATCCGTAAATTCAGTCCAGGTAACGGTGTCCTGGCAACCTACTAATAAATCAACTGACCAAGGAGAAGCCACAAAAAAAAAAAAAAAAAAAAAAAGGAACCTGAGAATTATACAAACCTGACCCGATGCCTAACCGAGATGAAGATACCGAAAGAATTCAACAAGAAGCAAGCTTGAAAACTAAGAATGCAAGCAAGCTGATACATCGTTCGAGAAGAAGTATTGTATCAGAAAAACAAACAAGTGCCCAACCAACCTTTAAGAGTCCTACAACAAACCCAAGTCCCCTTAATATTACAAGCCGTGCACAATGATCCTGTGGCAGGACATTTGAGTGAAGGAACGATAATTGAGAAGATAAAGAAGAGGTACTATTGGAACCAGTTCGTAAAAGATATTAGGGACTACGTGCGAAGTTGCGATGTGTGTCAACGAAGAGGGAAGCCCAAGACAAGAGAAGCACTACACCCAATAAAAGTGACCCAACCGTTTAACCGAATTGGGATGGATATCGTAGGGCCTCTGCCCATTACAAAGAAAGGGAATCGCTATCTTGTAACTGTGATAGAGTACTTGACAAAGTGGCCTGAGACATGAGCCTTACCCGATTGTTCTGCAAAATCAGTGGCTGCATTCATATTGGAGGATATAGTAGCACAACATGGGTGCCTTCATGTAATCCAGTCTGATCAAGGCTCACACTTCGTAAATAAGGTCATGAAGTTGGTTTTTGATAAGGCAAAAGTAAAGCATAAGCAATCGTCTACTTATCATCCACAAAGTAACGGGCTTGTTGAAAGGTTCAACTGAACCATTAGTGAGGCATTGGCAAAATGTGTAAGTCAGTACGACGGAGATTGGGACGATTATTTGGCTCCTGCACTATTTGCATGTAGAACCGCCAAGCATAGCACAACGAAATTCGATCCCTTTTTCCTTACGTACGGTCGTGAAGCAACATTATCCGTTGAATTGGTAGTAGGGACTTACCCTGTAGACTTGGATGATGATGAGCAATATGAATCGTTGGTTCTGGCCCGAACAATGAAGTTGATAGATGAGCTATTTGAGGTGTGAATTCAAGCTCAAGAGAATATATGTAAATCACAGGAAAGGCAAAAACAATACCATGATCAACAGCACCCACTACAAAGCTTCGAAATCAGAGACAAGGTCTTGAGGTACTATGCTAAACTGGGTAGCAATTAGGTAGTAAGCTGAAGGAAAAGTGGATGGGTTCCTATTGGATACATGACGTAATGGGAAATGGAATATATAAACTACGAACAATAGGCCCTTGTGGAAAAGTGACGAAAAAGCATGTACACAGAAGTCAGTTAAAGAGATACGTAAAGTGGAATAACGCAAGTACTGAGTAATCAAAAAAAAAAAAAAAAAAAAAAAAAAAAAAAAAAAAAAAAAAAAAAAAAAAAAAAAAAAAAAAAAAAAAAAAAAAAACTCTCTCTAAGTAACCACTGCGAAAATAAATGAAGCAACGTCTAGAAACATTGAGAAGAACAATCCAGCAACTTGTCGACCGAATGAACCTGGAGGAAGAATTGGTGATAAAAGAGACACGAGTAATGCTTCGCGATCAAGACCAAGAAATAGAAGAGACGTTTAGAAAGACTACAAAGAAGAGCAAGGCTCAGCAAATCCACGACAATATGCACCTGTATCTTCGGGACCTGGACCATCCTGTTGGATTTAACCCTATGTTATCTGTTGAAGTTGCCAGTACAACCTGGAATGAAAGGCTAATTCAGATATGCGATGCTGTTGAAAACTTGAACCCTCGGGCTCAGTCTAATGCCCATGTTCTGGAAATGTACTATAAAGTTGATAGCCTACTGTTTAAGTCTGGCTGGGGTGACGAAGCAAGGAAAAAGTTGGCTCAGCAACTTCCGGGTTCGAAAGGAAGCCTCGTCTGGAAGATTGCCAAATATACGTATCTGTTGTTCAGTACCCATGATGAATATAGTATGTATCTGGTCCAACATATTTCAATTTCAGTGTTGGAGTGAATGTTGGACTCTGACTTTATGGAATTATTGGCAGAAGCAAGGAGGTTAAGGGAGGTTGATATCAGGAGAATATTGGCAGGTTCGACGGAGCTCACCCTTTAGAGGAGGAATATGTTACAGAAAATTTCTTCAAAATTTTCCTTACTGTATATATTTTCTTTTCTTTTTGTTATATAGTTCATTTTTTCTATATATAAAAGCAGTAGATTATGTGAACACGATAGAATTAGCACATATATGGATTCGAAACCCAAGGTTAGGGTTTGAAACCCTGGGTCCGGGTGTGGAACCCCAGATCTGGGTCTGAAACCTCAGATCTGGGTTCGAAACCCCAGATCCGGGTTTGGAATCCTTAACTATCAAAATATATAAATAGGACGCTTACTTAATAAATAAAACAACTCTTTCTTACTCTGCTCAAGAAATAATTACAGTAGATACGTGATCTAGTTCTTTCTTATTTTTGTACCTGATAATAAATAATATGCACTGATCTTGTCTATTAAGTAGTACATAGTAACCAACCGGTAACCTAACTCGAACCTAAACGTAACCTGCGGTAACCTAACTTGAACCTAATGTAACCTGTGGTGAACTAACTCGAACCTAAACGTAACCTGTGGTGACCTAACTCAGACCTAAGCATAACCCGTAACGACCACTTCTGAATATAGTCTTATTAATCGATAATTATTACTATATATGAATCCGGGTTGTGCTACTTGCCATCAAGATTTATACTTACGGCGCTGGACTAAATTGGCTTGGAAATACAAAAGCTCTCCCTAGTCATAACACTATTAACTAAATAGTTTCAATCAGTAAAGACCTTATTAATCCTATTAATACCTTATTGATACCCTATTGGTATCTTATTAGTACTCTATTGAGTACTATTGCTTTAATCAATATCCTATTAACTACCTTTAGAGTCAAAAATAGGCAGCAATAGGGAGGTTCTCTATTGAACCACATTTTACTTGTAATTAATTAATCGATTAATTAAATGGCTAACTAATTGATTAGTAAATAAAAACCAATTAATCAATTAGATGATTAAAATAATATATTAACTAGGACGATCTTAATACTCACCGGAGGTGAAATTCACCGGTTATATGATTAGCCAATCAAATCACAGGATCTTTGTATAACAAAAATGAAGAATTTTTAAGAAAAAAAACAAAAAATGTTAATATCTTAAATTTTTATTATAAAAACTTACTTCATGTTATTAAGTAAAAGTTTTCAGTGCTTAATTTTACATATGATAAACACTCTAACCCTAATATAGTCTTCACCTTAACTCTAAAGTTAATAAAAAAATTTTTTTATTAGGAAATAAACAAACAAAACTATATACTGGTTAATTTCACCTATGGTTATTTCTAAATAAATTCTATTAACTAATCAATTAAAATTTTTTATTGATTTGTATTACTATACACTAGTGATTTGAACTAAAAAATATTTTCTTAATTAGTTAACCGAATCAAATTATTGTATTCAACTAATTGTCAACTAGTTAAGATACTATTATTAAAAATTCTCAGAGCTTTATTCTCTTGTCTTTATATTCATTTAATTTTTTTTTAGAACTTCTCAGACCCTTTACTCTCTTTATGTTATTTTTATATTATATTGATTCTGTTAACCAATTATCCAATTCTCAACTGGTTGTATTGCATCAACTGATTAAGAATTTCCTCAACTAGTTAATCGAAATTTATTCAGTTCAGGTCAATTAACCAAATATAGCTTAACTGATTCAAATTACTATATACAGATTTAATATTTAGAACTTTATAAATAAATAAAGTTACTAGTATAATTGTTTCTAGTAAAAAAACATACTAATAAGGAGCATGTTATTTATTATTTAATATTTTTTACTTGTAGCCACCTCCATTCATATATAATGTAATCACCTTTAGCTTGATTTTGATTAGTTTGTTTAATTAATTATTAAAATTTTTTTTATTTTGAATTTGCTATATATATATTAAGATTAGTTACAAATTTGTATCAAGATAATATTAATTTTGAACTATCTATTATATTTTGTATAATCATCTAAGTGTAGCAAATTACCTCTTAATTTTCTATTTGTAAACTAATTTACGACTAGCTATCATTAGTTATAGAAGAGGAAAGAGAAAGCCCAAATTAAAAAATTTTTTAATTCTTTTAAAATTGAATAACTTTTGATTTACTAGTTTATTTTAGATAATTTAACTGTCAAATATTTGTCTTGATAAGACAATTCTAATAAATTTAAAATTATTAAAATCTAATCACAGAAGTTTAAGATCATTAAGATTATTTGTACAAGTTTATTTATAATAAAATTAGTTTAATTATATATAAATAGTACAAAAACATTAATGATATTAGAATTCTGTGATTAGATTTTAATGATTTTAGATTCATTAGAATTGTTTCATCAAAATAAATATTTTAATAGTTAAATTATTTAAAACAGACCAGTAGATCAAAAGTTATTTAATATTAAAGATTTATTAAAATGTATATATAATTTATATATTATATTTAGTTATATATTATATATTATATATAAAATTTACTAAATATCAGCCTGGATAATTTTCTTAAAAATTATCCTTATAATATATACTATATATTTTACAATAAATATAAAATACTATATAATTATTTGTATTATAGTACATATATACAAACTATAATACTATATTTGTGCAAAATAATAGCCCGAATTAAGCTTAATTTAGGCTAATAGTTGAACTTGCACCCCATGAATTATTACGTATATACAAATATGATAATTACATGCAACATTAAAACAGTATTTTGGGTAATCTTGAGGTAACAGTAATTGTATATTCATGACTATATTTAATATGTATAACATATATACGTATATATATAACCATATGCTGTATCAGGAGTGTAAAACAAATATATGTGCATACAATTCATAAGATAGTAGTTTGATAGATTTAAAAACTTGAAAGAAGAACTATGAACCTTATATAATATATAACCCTAACCACCTTGACCATAAAAAACAATTATGTTTATTATATCCTAACCCTAAATACTAATGATAACCCTAATTCTAATCATTAAAAAAACTTCTATACCAATACTATTTAGATGATTGATTGAAGCTATGAGTATAGTATACTACCTAAATCTTGATGTTACTGCTTTTAAAAAAAAATTTGTTAGTATATATTGATACTTATGAACTATGTAAAACAAACCAAAAAAATAGTACAAATTTGACTAGTAGCAATGATAACAATAAATTTGATCAATAGCAATGATAATAATTATGCAATTACAATTAATCTAACTCTAAGCAAATTAATTGTTTTGACAATGTAAATATGTATGACTGGCCTCATTACAAATTTTGCATGATGCATTGCAACTTCTAGCATTATGTCCCTCATTAGGACAATTATAACATGTATATTTATTCTCTGAACAAACATTAACACTTGCATTCCCTAAAAATTTTCTATAGATGCTTTTAATCATTTTGTTAGCCTTCTTCTTGAACTAGTTTGTAAGAGATTATGATTGTATCCTAAATTTGGTTGTCCACAGAGTTAGAGTTTGATTGTTCTATTTGTTAAATTGAATCTTGTAATATGACAGTAACATATATTAAATGAAATTCGGCTACCAATGATGTTAATTTATGCCCTAAGTTAGCATATTCACCATAAATCTGTCATTTCGCAATTAAACATTCAATTTCAGAATAGTCTTGTCTTAAACTCTGAATATTAAATATAGAATTTAAAGCAAAGCTTTTAATCCTTGTATTAGTAGCATTGACACATCTTCTAACAGAATCAAATATAGTGCTCTAATCTTATCTATATCTATTTTGTTTTTATACTATTAACTCTTTATTAAAGTAATACTAAATTTTGCTATTTTGTTTGTAGCATTACTTAAAAAAAGTGACAGCAAACTAATCCTTCACTAATCAAAAGTAAACATGTACAAACATGCGACTTGTCTTGAAGTATTGCTATATAATTAAGTGACTTTATATTTGATGCTATGTGTTTAACCTCTTAGATTTCTGAAATATTATCAAGACCAACATGATCAACAAGAGAATTAAGTGCAATTTGGTGTATGTCAGTAAAATCTTCTAGATATTTAGAAGTATCAGAATCATTAACCTTAAACAAAGTTTAAATATTAATATAGAACAACTGTTAGGCTATTCATATTAAATAACAAATTCTAGCTTACTTTGTCACATGTATTATATTGATTTGAGGGAATTAGTTTGGAATAATATTCAAAACAGATGTCAATTTGAGCTTTTTGAATTCAAAAAATTTCATCTGTTAAAGCTGATTTCAGAAGTTTAACTATATCTAGAAAAACACAAATAGCTGATGAGAAACTAATAGTGAAAGGCAAGTTTCCAAATAGTTATGATACTCAGCTTTTTGAAGCTCAAATAAGAGCATTTGTTGTATACTGTTAAAGTAATCCATTAATGTTGAATGGAGTTGACATATTTATATATAATGCTATTAATAGATTCTACTCTTTGAATTGAAGACATTCTGGCATTAAACTCCTGAAAAAAAAATTTATATATCAATTGTAATCTGAACCTATATATAACTCTATTATATGGGTGATACCAATGAAAATCAGACTTCGATTATATAAATTTTGTATAATTGAAGTCTAGTTTTTTCTTGGCGTCATCTTATCATAGTTTTAATATTAATTATCTAAAAAGTATAACACAGCCTATTTTTCTTTAATTGGGTATAAAGTGTTTCTTAAATATGATAAAGTTTCTGGATATTCTGTACATAATAAATTGAATCGAGATTCAAAAATCTCTTCAAATAAAGTATTACGGCAAACAAAAAGTTAGTTTGAAAAGTAACAAATCAGAAACTAAGGGGATGCATCAAGTATTTTTTGATATTTTGAACTACGTGAAAGATGCAATATAAATATTGTGTATTTGATAAGGTGGATTCAATTGCTGATCCTAATCCAGTATTATAGTTAGAATATATTGTTGCAGGTAGTAGATTGTTTGTAGCTTTTAAAAGGTTTTTAAAAACCATATATAAGATGAAGTTGTTTCATATGACATTGGAGCTTGAGCTACTAATCTTGAATAGTGATGTTGATCAATACCCACAAATAGATATAGTGCTATATGATATTTGTTTGTTCGCGCTATATTATCTGTCAAAATAACGTTATATACAAGTTTTGCTGATGAGAAATCATCCAAAACAAATGAAAAAATGATTTTTGACACAATAATAAGTTATAAACTATGTAGGATTATTTTCTTTCATTTTGTGTAGTTCCTTAAGAAGATTTGAAGTGTTATTTTCAGAATCTTGCTCAGAATCTATTGTGTTACCCCTTCAAAATTGCTGAATAATATTCGTCAAATCCTTATACAAAAATAATTGATCTTTGAATTTACCACTAAGAAGTTGTCTCAATATATGTTGGTTAATACCATATATAGTATTTATATAAAATTTGATTTTGTCTATTACATTCTGAGGAAGTTGACAGTAAACATTTGCAAAGCAAATTTTTTCAGGATTAAATACATGACTGTGATGTTCTAGATTCATTTTGGTAATACTTGGGTTTGATAATTTAAGTGACCAGGACATATTAATAAAACAAATATATTCTGTTTTGACTGATTCTCTGTTGTACTATTATAAAGGATCGATAGCTGTTTTTTTAGATTGAATTTTTTTGTATGCTGACATTCAAAAACATACTTATATACTTCACCATTCTTATTTAACTTTTTGTTCTAAATTCACCAGACAAAACTAACCTGCTGTTCATATGCTAACAATACCAAATACGCACGGTTTTAATTTTCAAATATCATTCCAATATATAATTCCTGCGTTTGTTTAAAAACATCATCAGGTATTGAAAGCGTCTCAAGTAGTCTTCTTTTGGTTATTCCAGCATGAGATAGAATACTTTTTTGAATAGTATTATAACCTTCCTTATGAGACAAAATATTTTCTTGAACATCTTCATAAGCTTTGTTATGGTTAATCATCTCGTTTAAACTATTATTACCATTATCAAGCAGTTCCATTATCTATATAGTACTTTGATATAGTTTTGAGTTATGTAAACAGCCTTGCTATTACTAACTTATACAAAACCAAAGTCAGACAATTTAAGCAAACTAAAAATACTATGACATAAAAGATATACCTACTAATGCGGCTAAATAATACTGTTAGCTATATATTAACTTGAAAGTATAACTTTGTAATACCACTTTTCTATTCCTCCTATATGATGTATCTATATTTTTAGCAAAGGTATGTAAAGAAAAGGAGTAGTAGAGAACTAAAATATATATAATAAAAAAACTAATGTGTTTTACTTCGTATTCATTTTAAGGCTTGACTTCTTACTTAATATTGGTTCAAGATATGACTTCTATTCATTCCACATAATATATCTATATTTTTAGTAAAGGTATATAAAGAAAAGGAGTAGTAGAAAACTGAATATACATGAATAAAAAAAACTTATGTGTTTTACTTCGTATTTGCTTTGAGAGGCTTGACAAAAAAAATGAACGTGTTTTATTTCATATTCACTTTGAGGCTTGACTTTTCACTCTATTGGTTCAAAATACAACTTTCATTATATATACTTCTTATTATTTTTCATGACGTGTCTAACCATTTCTATCTATTAGTTCAAAGGATAAGTGTTGAACAACCTTTATTAGGTAACTGCATAATTAGTAAAAAGATCAATCACTGTTGTGATCAGTCCTTTTATTAATTTTACCTTCATTGCTACATACATTAATTACATCATGCATTAGTATCTACATATGTCAAAATTGATATCTTATACAATGAACAATTATATTTTACATAATAGGATGTTGTTTTAATAAATCAGTTAGGATAATTTTAATAAAATCTCATTATATATATATATAATCACTCAGCTAATTATTTATCTATAGTAAAAATTATATGATAAATAGCATATTTCTAAAATATATTATTAATAAAAGAAAAAAAAAAGTAAATGCTAATTAAAAAAAAAGAGCCAAATAGTCAAAATTATTGTCACAAATTATAATAAAAATTAGATTAAATAAATTAAGATGTTTTTATTTGATCTTCTAAAATTCACTTATACTTGTTTATTATAAAAATGTTTCTGAACCCTAATTCTAATTCTAAAAAAATACTAAAAAAATACACTTCAAAAATTTGTATTTTTTGATAGCTTGTTTATTTTATACTATCTCTTATTTTATTTTAATTTGATTTTATTTTAATTTGCTACAATTATTAGTCTGTATTAGGATAGGTATAGTGACTTAGTGAAGTTGGTAAGTTGTCACACCCCCAAGTAGCAGGACAAGAGTTCGAATCTTACTGCTAATGAAATTTGAATTTAAGGAATGTGTTATAGTAGACTATGTATAATCCGATAGATTAGTGAGATCTGTAAATTTGATTGCATCAGAGTTTATTTGGAGGCTGTAGAATATTAGTATGATGCATAAGTTACACAAAATCTGAGTAAAGCAGCTAAATTAATCTAGATATTGGGACTATGATGCATATGAGAGCCTACTTGGCAAGTCCTGAGTAAAGAAGTAGTACAGATTTTTGACGGTATTACATAAAGGACTATCTAAGGGATCCGGACACCAATTTCAGTAATTTGAACAAGGACCAGTGTTTGGCAAGACACTATACCAACCAGGCCACCAGAGGAGTACTGGAGAAAAAGGATTTAACCATAGGAGCAGAAGCAGGTTACAGCCCTTTTGGGCTATCTGGATTAGAAGTTTGGATTATTGACAGAACTTAGATACTGGTGATAGTCTATATAATAAGTACTGAGGTTTGGGTGAACTTTGCAAGGGTACAAAGTAGGTAACAGTAGCAGCTTCAGCTCACAAGTACTTGGTTTCAGCCTAGGTGTAAGTTACCAAAAATCTAAGTGATACATGTGTGGAACATGAACTATTCTAATAGATTTATTATGAGGATAAAGTAGTTTTAAGGGGCCTTAGTGGCAGTTCCTCTTTGGAGAAAATATCTTGACAACGCTAAGTTGATCAGAGGGTTTAATTGGTAGCTTAAGTAATAGTGGACTGCAAATACAGCATTTAATATAGGGCATAGTAATATGCAAACTCTACTTAATTAGATACTTAAAAAGTGCAGATATAGCTAGAATGTACCCTCGTTAATGTAACAAAGTTAGGAGTGGCTCTGTAACTGCTCTGGTATTCGTAACCAAAGTTAATAATGTACCAGACTCCCAAGTGGTCACCTTAATATTAAAAAAAAAATTAGTATATATTAGGTTTTTAAAAATAATATATAACTAAATATAAAAGTTTTACAACTAACTATAGTAGTATATTTTATAAAAAAATATATACAGTATATATATTACTTTGTCTTATAATTATACTAGACAAATAGAAACTATTTTAAATTTTAAGAAAAAATCAATATGAATCAGTTTGACAAAATAGTTATTTTTAAAATATAATAATTGCTTTAATTTGATTAACTAATTAAAATCTGTAATTTGCAGATATATGAACATTAAGCACTCTATACCTCTATAGTAATATCCTTTGAACAATTAATAAATATATTCTATTAGATATAAAAACTTAATAAAATAGTCAAATTGTTACTTTTCAAATAGCAAATTAAGAGTTCAAAATCTACTATAATAAAAATTTAAATTCCTGTCTGTATTAAAGTAACTGTCTTATGCAGATTAAAATATTCAATTCTGTAAATATAGTTAGACCAAATAGTAGTTAGAATAATAATCATTCAAATTAAATTATATTTAATTCAGAATAGTTTATTTTAGAAGGTTTACTAGAAGCTGAATTAAGATTTAGAAGATCACAAAGCATTTATAAAATAAAAAAGTTGTATAAAAAAATATAAGCTGATATTAAGCAGTACAAATCTGTAATAATATTCTATATTTTATAAATTTATAAAACTAATAAAGATAGAAACCATAGGGTGTAGTGATTTAGTAAAGTTAGTAAGTTGTTATATTCCAAGTAGCAGAACAGGAGTTCGAATCCTACTAGCAATGAAATTCAAATTTTACAGAATATGTTATAGCAAATTATGTATAATCTAATAGATCATTAGATCTGTAGCTTTGGTCATATCAGCTTGTACTAGAAGACTGTAGAACTATAGTATGATGCAAAAGTTATACAAAACTTAAGTAAAACAGTTGTGTAAATCTAAGAGCTGAGATATATAAAATCTCGCTTGGCAAGTTCTGAGTAGAGAGATAACACAGATCTTTGATAATACTATATAAAGGATGATCATTAGCAATTAAATATTAGCAGTAAACTAAATGAAAACCGGGTGTTTAGAAAACACTAATACCAACCAGGCCACGTGTATACAGAATAGTTCTGTATATAAATACCAAGAATACGTCTACTAGTTTCTCTTCAGACTATTTGAATTGAGAGTTTGAGGCACTGTTAGTAAAAGAAAGTCGATGTTAGTCTGTAAAGTGAGTGCTGAGGTTTGGGTGAACTTTGCAAAGGCAAAAGTAGGTAACAGTAGTGGTTTTGGCTTGCAAGTACTTGTTCTCAGACTTGGTGTAAGTTATTAAAGTCTAGGTTAGCCAGATTGTAGGTATGGAAAGCTCTAGCTAATAACACCTCAAAGATAAATTAGTTCTAAAGATATAGAGAAAGCATTCAGGACTTCTTACAATAGATAATTATAGCAGTGATGTACTGGTAATACAAGCTGGATATATTTGTAATATAATATATAGGGTTTTATAAGTGAGCTCTTTATCTATATATTTGAATAAAAACCTTAGTCCCAAAGAGGCTAGTTATAAAACTTAAAAAAAATAAAAAATAAAAAATAAAAAATAACGATAGAAACCTGCTTAGTAAAACCTAAATAAAAGATAGCAGAAGCTTAGTATTATTCACAATAGTAACAATTATCAAGTGTATACTTAAAATAAGAGTTGTTAAAGCTATATAAATTTTACAAAAGCATTAACCCAGATTAGCTATTAATAGTAGAGATAAAAAACTTTAAAAAGTTTATTTTGAGAATAAAATAGTTCTAAAGTAGTTATTAAATAAGTTTGAAGTTATATATATATAAATATATATATAGTTGATATAGATCAAATACTATAAAATAATTATTAAACAATAAATAGTACTGTACAAAAAGGTTATTATTTATTTTTTTTTATAATCAAAGTTAGCCCCTTTGGCATATCGCTTTTATTAGATTGTAGAATCATGTAATGCTCTTATCATAGAGATATCAAACAAGTACATTCTGATAAGAATACATTTGGCTATATATACAACTTTAGTCATTGTCTATTTAAAGACTCTGTTATTTCTATTACTAGCTATAGTTATCTATTATATGCTATATCTGAGATCTGTCTATAGATCTTCATTTAAACCTTTTGATTTGAGTTTCCTATACCAATCTATCTAACTTTCTCTGAAATATACAATATATTAGTCAGTTTAAGTTACAGGATTATTGTGAACTACCTATAGGACTACCAACTTGGTTAACCAATTCATTCTCAAATATATTATCTGATAGAGCAGTCTAGTATCTATTATTATTATATTATCTAGTCTATTTTAGTAATTTATACTGATTTTAAAGACAAGTATTTATAAGCTAAAACTACTACTATTACCTATTCAGCATTTGTAAAGTTTATCCAAACCCTAGTATCTCTTCTTTAGAACAATCTGATATCTTCTTTTTTAGTACTTCCTAGTCAATCTCTTTAGACTATTAATCCAGATAGCCTAAAAAAGACACCAGTTCTATAGTATTTGCTAATTCTTTTCCTCTAGTTAATACTTATACTAGTGACCTGATTAAATAAAATGAAATCAAAATTATTTAAAATTATATTGAAAAATTCAAAATGATTTGCTTTTTTTTTTTTTTTTAATATTAAGATGATCACAGAATGTTTTATTAAACTTTGGTTCAAATACCAGAGCAACCACATGGGCTACTCGTGACTTTGTTATATTAA